GCATTTACTTGCCACCACTGCTGCTTACATACTTCTTCCATTCCGTGTGACAGCCCTTCTTGCTTCTTGCCTTAGTCACCTTTTCTGCATTCTCTACCTCCTCTAATCTTTTTTCCTATTACTTGAATGTGATCATCTCTATTCAGAGCTCTTTTTGGCTCTATAATGGAAATAATGGATATGCTCTGTTACAAGTTCAAATTTACCTCCTTACCTCTTCACACTCTAACCTTTACAATCTCTCACCTTACTCTGAATTGGGAATGGGAAGTGGAATATCACTTTTATGGACTAAATGGGAGATGCCATGACAGGAGAAGAGGGGTCAGACATTAGGGAATGATGTAAGAGATGAAGGGGCAATATATTAAGTATCGCATTTCGATCGAGGTCCATGTACATAAGAGATGTCAGCAGCAATTTCACATATCGTATATTGCACAAATAAAATGACAGAATTACTTTAAAATGTGGAAGAGTGCAGCACCACTTCTCAAAAACTTTTCTACATTCGACATTCTATTCACAAGTTCAATAGTCAATACAGACTTAAGCTTTACCTAATTTTTTTAAAAAAATACTAGTAGCTATTCAATTCGTAACACTCGTTTGTTCTCACCTTTTGGTACCTGTATACATAGAAAGCTTCATGCTTTATTTATAGCTTTTAAATGTCTTATCCGTGAATCATGATCTGGGCTTAACTATTGAGCTTCTCCTCCACTTGTTCTAACAGTCACTCTGGGCAGCATCATGTTCATGTTCCTGTAAAAAATGAAGGTAATATTCTGGAGCTCACATCACCCAGACTAAATCCAGAACAAGGTAGCATGTCTCATGCTGGATATGCATTTCAGTCTAACTGGACACATGTAGCAAGCAGAGGGATGCCCGAAGTTGGTTCTGGAAAAACCGAGATGATGATTCCAGTTCCATCCCCGAGAGGTACTTCTCCGTTATTCTAGTTGTGTTCTTTCCTACAGTAGTTTGATGCTCATTGTCATATTGTTCTCCTGGTGATTTGTGCAGGTAATCATATATTCTCTGGTGCTGCTAATGACATGTGGATGCACAGGAAATCTGAAGCAGAGATACATTCTAGACCGGCAATCATTGCTTGCAATCCTGCACCTCCTCAAGCGCCTCCTAGATCACTACAGCCTCTTCAAGGACCTCCTACTGTGCCACCGCCTGTTCAAACACTTCCTGCTGCAGCACCACAGCTAATTCAAGGACCTCTTATTGCACCACCACATCAAGCACAACCTCCGCCCTTTGCGCGCCCAATGTATTTTCCCCCAAGTGGGTGGGATTCACGTGGTTTGAACCATAACTTGCCCCCAAATCCAATTCCATCTGGTGCAATGCCTACTAATCTTCATCATTGTTCAGTTGCACCGCCATTTATACCTGCTTCTGTGACTCCACTGTCGCAAATACGAGGCACCTCCATGCCACCATTTGATCATATGTATGCTGTGCCTGTTGTTCGACCACCAGTGACGTCTTTACCACCACAACCACCACCTCAGCTTGACTCATTACCCCCGTTACCTCCACCTGTCTTGCAGCCTCCGTTACCTTCATCCCCACCCCCACCACCTTACCCTGACCCACCTAATATTCCTCCTCCACCTAGTTCCCCACCTCCTCTTCCCCCGCCTCCATTATCTGAACCTTCAAATTCAGAAAGTTCTAAACAATATTTGCAGTGTCGTTGGCAGGGCTCCTTGAGTAAAAGTGGAGTTCATTACTGCACGATTTATGCCCAAAGAGTAGAGTCAGATATTTGTAGGTATCCAAATGCCAGTGCTGAGCCGACGGAGTAAGGACTTCAGTTCCTTTGATGTTCTGACACTTGATTTTTAAATATTCTGTTTTTAAATTGGATACCTGTGCAGATGGCCTGCGAAGTTGGATATGACCAAACGTACTGATTTTCGGCATGTCAAATCAACATTTTGTAGTACACCACCCCACAAAGTGAGTCTTGAACATTATGAAGGAATATTCTGCATATCATATTTAAATAGCATATATTAGCACCTTTTGATAATTGTCGTTGTCATCTCTATCATATAATGTAGGCTATACTGTTTGTATATGTATCAGTTCTTGCTCATTTTTTTCGATATTAAAATGATCCATGACTTACATTCTTTTTTAACTTAATGTGAAACAGAAGGAGATATGCTGGTTGCTACCTTCTTCTCCAATGGACCATAAGGGCGTAAGTTGATCATGCTCTCCTTTCAGTTTTCATTACCAGTGAATGCAGTCATGATAAACGCGATAGATAGTAGATGAAAAATGTCTGTGTATCTTCCAGATTTACTTGGTATATACCTTATTTTGTGTGTGTGTAATCACCTAAAATAGGAACTAGAAAGAGTTGCCAATGAAAATCATTTCAGAGAGGATTCAGATACAGGATTTTGTGTTCTTTTTTTTTTCCAGCTGTTTGAAAAATAATTAGTCCAGTGTCCAACTTTTCCACTAGGTCTATCCATGATTGCAATATGTGTGCAGACATGGGACCTTAAGGAGAATATTTCTCCATTTACTTTTTACTTTTCAGTGTTCTATTTTTGCAATGACTGCTCACATATTGTAACTGTAGCTGGTTTAGAGGACTTAAATGTCAAAATTTGCTTTTTTGCAGTTTCAAGATTTTGTATCATACTTGAAGCAGAGGGAATGTGCTGGTGTAATTAAAATCCCAGCCGTAAACTCAATGTGGGCAAGGCTTCTCTTCATCCTTCCACAGTCATCTGATACCTGCTCTATGCTCTCAGTTGCACCTAATCCTTCTCTTTGTCTACTTGGTCTGGTGGTGCCCAAAGAGACAAACTCTGAATGGGTGTGATGCTAGTCTATGTGGGCAATACCGCATTGGGAAAAAGAGTGGCATGCGCTGCTAATTGCCTAATGCTGCTGCTCGCCAGGTTTTGTTCAGTTTTTGACTATGATGTATCATAAAGGCATTTGCCAAGAGCTTTGGTGAATGTGCATGGATCATAAAGAAATTCATGACGCACAGCAAGTGCTGATTGGCAGTTGCAGCAAGATGTGATGAACCACAGTAATTTGCTCACCAAGCTTCGAATCTGATATATATTATTGGGCAATAGATCAAACTCCTCATTCTACTGCATCAACTGTCATCTAGTGTGAGATGGTTACTGGGAAGTCAATGTTATTTTATTTTACTTTGTAGGTACTCAGAAGATCATATGATCGATATTACAACAAGATGGTGTTGTCAGCTCAATGCAAGTTATATTATAGGAGTCTTTTGTACTTAGAATCCGCTAAGCCTTTTTGTTTCTTCTTTCTTCCTTTTCTCCATCAGTAGTGGAGGGATATCTTCTCATGTCCATGTAGCATAGTAGAATATGGTTGTATGTGAGCTTTGAATTATTTTTTTCGGCACCATTGCTAACTATTTAGTGTGGATGGTCTGCTGTTATGCAGTTCTTGCTCAACATAAGATGTTTTAGTTGTGTAAATGTGAGTAGTGTTAATGGGGTTGCATAAGACATGTTTCATTATTGCACTTTTGAGTTCAGACTAGATAAAATCAAACTGTATAGTTGAAAGACGTGGGGAATGGATGAGAGGCGTGGGGGGTACGATATAAGAGTTCTTCCTTTCCTATCAATTTGTACACAAAACCTATGGTAAAGTGCCCGTCTGTAATCCAAACATATTAAGGGTGTGTTCTCTATGGAGAAAAATGTTTTTTCATGTTCGGTTGGTCAATATTTTTCAATTCATATTTTTCATTGATAATGTCCTTCAAAAACTCCTTATTCCCATCACTCCAGATAATATTTTTTGCTTGCATATCGAACCTAATAAGACAAATAAGTATCCCACTAGTTTTCCTAGATTTTCATGAAAAAATATTTTTCATTATATCAAACACATCTAAAATATACTCTCTCTGACCTATATTAGTTGTCCACTTTCCTCCTCTCTACACACCCCTTAATAAACTATAAATAAGAAAGAAAGTTTTACTAATTTCTCTATAAGAAACTCTTTTGGAGCTTTATACATTTGTTTACACTTTAAAAAATGAGTGACTTTGGTAGTGGATAAAGAGCGAGACTAACATGGTTTGCGAGATGCACATATGCCCTTGTGAGCAGAGACCGATCCATCCTATAGAGTGGGGTGCATGTGCACCCGTTAACTTTGGAAAAAATCATGTGTGTAGATGTATATCTATCTTGAAAAATTGACATAAATTAAGATATAATTAACCGTGCATTCATGAAAAGTATAGGTTTGTCATTGTGTTGTTGGTACAAGCTAGAAGAATCACCCACGAGACCTAGGTTCGAATCTAGCTACAACTCTATGTTATTGTTTTTATTTTTCAAGTTAATCTTAGAGCTCATATTTGAGAAGATGCAGAGATAGGTCCAAAAGTATTGGAAGAGGTAATTAAACAACACATGATTCACCGGTAGCAATATGAGGACATGACTCTAAATATGATAGTATGAAAGTCGAGAATTGAGGTAAAAGGTTAATATATAGTAGAACATTGTCTAGTTTTCTAATATATTATTATTACCATCCTATTGTCTTATTTTTCATTTATTTATTACATGTATTTCCTTTACTTCAATTGTTGTATTATTTTTTATTGTTATTCTTTCTTTATCATTAGTGTTTCTCTTTTTTAACTTTTCGATTCACTTTACATATTTGCATTAATATATCCTATACATTCACTTTTATTTGTTCATTAAATCATAAATACATTTTCTACTTGCCACTTTTAGCTTATAAAAAACTATATTTAACTCTCGATATTAATTACATGTTTTCCAAATCAGTTTTAAGACCTTAGACAATATGTGAGTAATTAGTATGGGTATTATAGTTAAATAGTTAAATATTCATATTTTATTTTAATTACGTAAAGTTGAAAAGTAAAATAAGTAAAACTGTAAAAGTGAAAAAAAGAAGGTAATTTCTTGAAGTAAGGGCCTGGGGAAGCCGAGCAATTTCCATATTTTGTCTCCAATCCAGTTCGACCGTCGACGGCACTGAAGGAGAAAACCTCTGATCGCCTCTGTGATTTTGGCCGTTCACTTTCCTTAGGCGAAGTCAATAGTACGAAGCACAATTCTCCGACTATCTAAAAGTTATTGCTGAAGCCATGTCGAATCGCTATAGTAACCAAAACAGGAACGAAAAAACTCAGAAGAAGTTTGTTCCAAAGAAGGAAATGCAAACTTCTCAAACCCTAGCGAATTCCTTCAGGCAATCAGTTTCTATCAAATCTGAAGGAAGTTCCAACGCCGTTAACTCCAGCAGTGCCGGTTCTTCTGCCGGAGAGGTCAAGAGTAGGGTTAGGATGGGAGAAAGTGGCGCCTGGGTTTCCGCCGCTATTCCTAGTGGAAAGTTCGTGGATTATTTGCCTCAGGATGAGGCTGTAGCAGCTGGGCTTGGAGCCGATGAGGGTGCATTGGATCCCATGGAATCACAGCGTGTGGTGGATGTTTTGAACAGGGAGTTGTGTAGGTTACTGAAGATGAATGCAAGAGATTTCTGGCGAGAAGGTAATGTTTTTTCTATTGCTTTTGTGAAATCTGGTTTTGAAGATTTTCATTTGAAATTAGTAGTTATAGTTTGTATGATTTGATTAAGGAATAAAGGTAGCTAATGGTAGCCTTCTAATTTTTCTGTATTGAAGAAAGATAAATGATTTATGATGCTTTATGCTTGTCTGCATTTGGAAAAGAGGTGCAATACGCCATATATAGTGAAGCAAACTTTTCATACAGCATTTCTGAGCAGTACTAATCCTATCTGAATTAAATCTAGTGAGGCAAACTCTTTTTATACAGCATCAGAAGCAAGCAGTAAAAGCTAGTGAGTAAACAGACGCATACAAAAGGTCAATCATAAGATGATTATAAGTTGCTCAGGATGTTTATGTTATGCTAGAAAATGTTGGGTTTCCCTAGAAACGCCCTCCTTTTCCATTATTTCACATTAGCTGCTAAAGACTAGAAAGCTATATCCCACAATTAACGTGTAGGGATCAAAATGCCAGGCCAGGGTGAAAGAGAATCTTCTTTTGGTAAAAAAAGAAATTCAGCTGCGCATAATCCTTGAATCAGCAGCGATGAGAAATATTTCATTTGTCTTGCATCGCGATAAGTATTATTTATTTTATTTGTTGTGGGTAACTAAGTGATACATTTGATCTGCTTAAAACAAACACCCAAAAATGGTGCTATCTCAGTCCCAATTTATGTGACGGTATTTGAGTGGCAAATTTGCATTGGTTTGGATTGTGTGTTGGTTTGTATATTGTGTTGCTGTACATTTATACCAGTCTCTCCTGATTTCTGTGTCTACCAGTGGCCAGCGACAGCTCCCTTCGCTCTTTTCTTGAAAGCTTTCTGAAGTTCAGGAGTAGGTGGTATGATTTTCCATATCGAGGAGCCAGGGGTATAGTTGCTGGGGTCGTCGTTGGTGAGTTCGAGCTCTGCCGGCGTATCTTTATGGTCTTATATCGCATGTGAGTCACTTTAATTTCAAAGCATTTGATGCATCAAGTTGCATCCCTTATGCTGTGCCTTTTGATCTAAACAGTTCTTTCAATTTTAGATCGTCAAATCGGGACCCTGGAGCTAAGACTGCTGATAGTCTTACTCAGAAAGATCACGAAGGTGTGTGTCTGTCCCTGACTCGTTGCAGTTATTACTACCTTTGTATACTTCAAATAATTTCTTGGTATTGTGGAGGTCAAATTTTAAAAGTTTTATTCAAGTTGCAGCCCTGACATGTACTTTTGTAATGAACTCTGCAAGTAAAATGTTTTATGCACTTCCTTTCCTTATATTATGACTAGTCTCATCACAATCATGATCAGGAAGATCATGAATTTAGAAAATGGCAATACTACCTTTGAAGTCTCAGGTAGAAGCATAGTTTAGTTTCTATTACCTTGTGTAATAGAAACCTTATTGTAATTTTAATAATATTGCTTACTAAAATGTCAAAGATAGTAAATAAATACAAGTCAATTAATCTAATTAAATTGGGGAATGATAGAACTCCACGAAATTTCTTTTAATTAGTAAGGGAAAAGTTTTTATCTCTTGAAATTAAATCAATAGTTAGGTAGTGGATTCTTATTGTAATTTTAGATGCTATATTCCATGGCATAAAAAATTTCACACTTTGATCTACTTTTTTTTACGCTTTTATTACACTATTAGAATTTAATTCAATTAATCAAATTAAAAAATGAGGGGATAAAATGTCACTTTTTTCCTAACATCCCACTGACGAACACCAAATATGATGTCAATTGTTCTACACTTTATAATTTTCAAACCATTGATACTTTAACTCGTTTTTTAATGATGAACAATTTTTATTTTTTTTTAATAAAACCGTCGCTAGGCACTGATTTCCATGCGCCTTGCAAGGCGCATGACGGCTGTGCCTTACAAGGCTCATGACGGCTGCGCCTTGCAAGGCGCATGGAATTCCACGCCTTGCGGCGGCTGCCCTAATTTAAACATCGTTTGATTTTCCGTCAGAAAGTTGCCCTTTTGGTTCTATAATTAATTTTGTTGCCCTTTTGGAATTTTTGAAAAAAATTCTTACCCTTTTGGCTCCGGACTCTTGAATAATATGCATTGTAAAAGGCCTGATGATGTATCTCTCGCTAATTATCTTTGGAAATTGTATTCGAGTGCACAATGTTCACTAATTGCATTTGTAGCCCTTTTGCAGGAGAAGAAGTTGCTTGATTTACCGAAGTTGTTAGACATATGTGCCATATATGGTCATGAAAATGAAGATCTGACAAGAATATTGGTATTATTAACTGAACTGCCTTGTCGTTGAACTATTGATGATATGGTTTATTGTTCTTTGGTTTTGGTTTAATCTTGTGTCATAAGATACACATCCTGATGGTGAGCCAACATAAATGACCTATTATTCTGCTTCTTGTGGTAGGGAGAAATAGTGTTTCTGTTCGGAACCTTTACCCTTTCCTTGGATCCTTCTGCTATCTCCCTTTTGTCACTAAAAATTCGAACCTAAAAGGATAAGAAATCTAGAATCTAGATGGTATCACCTGCTAATTGATAGAAGTACTAACTTTCAACTTCAGAAGTTTCATCAGCAAATTGGCCTTGAACTCCAATTTCAACATTTCAGGCACACTCTGTGATAAATAAGCATCTGAGGAATAACTCCCATAGTTGTTTTCTTGTTTTCTATAGTGGTTCGTAAAATTGAAGGGGGTGGAGGAAACAAATATACAAACAGAGTATCAAAATTGCCTCTTGATCCATGTCACATTGCAGTTTTATCTCTTGTCTAGCTAAGAGTAAGCTTCACAAGAAGTCAAGAACCACTATTATATGAAATGAAAATCTAGAAACCGTCCATGTGAAAATGTAAAACTCTCTGCTTAGATGCTTTTACAAGAAAATCTCCTATCTATGAGTAGTTTATCCTGACGTATAGAATTTGTGGTACTTTTTATTTTAAATAATATTGGTCTGGGATGAGTTTAAATAGAGCAACTTGGTCAATGAGGATTCATGCCGACTCCAACTTGTTAACAATTGAGGCATAGATGCATAGTTGTTGTTTAGATGTTTTTACAAGTTTTAGGTATGAAATCACACGTCAGTGGGGCACATACTTTGCATGATGATCTGTTGAAGGATGGATTAAAAATTTCTAGACGGTGTTCAAATTATGATAATTAGATAGACACTATTTGTAGGTCTTCTGCATATCCCTGAAATGTTTCCTGTGGATTAAATGTCAAGACCATTTTCCTTGGGCTCATGACTCTGCCTCCTGACCCAAGAAGAGATGTAGTAGAGAGTTTTAAGCACCGCCTACTAGAAAATTCAATTTTTGTCTGGGGTTCAATGTCAAGTGCACGGCCCGCTGCTTCACAGTGCCCCCTTAAGCCTCAAGTCTGACTAATGCTCTGTGGTCATGGACATGACAGCAAATGGGGCTCATTGGTCTCTTATCACTAAATTCTATTACAAGAAACAACTGCGGCAAAAGAAAACTGCATTCAGATGAACTGTTAACTCTTTTTTTTTTGGGTGCAAAAAGGATTTGATTAATGAATTTGAATAAGTGATAGATCTAATAGGATCTTGCTTAGATTAGAAGGTACGGATTTTTGCTTGTAATTTGGAAGTACTTTGGCAGCACCTCCTTTGTTGCTATGTTAATAATAAAGTTGCCACTTCTCGGAGAAGAAAAAAAAAACTGTGGAATTTCTTGCTTAAGCATCTAGGTGAAACCAAGTTAAGAAACATTTTTTTTTGCCCTGATAAGCCAGTGCTCCTTATTGTCATTTCTGCTTTGTGTTTGCTTTACCTGGTTCATCCATTGTTCTTCTCTTTTTATCAAGGATGCTAATGGATATTCAGATTCCTGTTGCTGACTCCTGTCTGTATATATGTTGTTCAGGTCGTCAATGCCATAAAGTCACAGCCATGGATCCATGATGATCTTTCATCTGTTATTACACACTTTCTTAGCATTGTGCAGACTATGTATGAGAGGTGTAGCTCATCGTTAGAGGTATTATTTCTTTAATGGACTGTACTCTTAATTCTATCTTAACATTTTCTTTTTTTAAAAATCCCTACACAGGGATTTCGGAGAAAGGGTAAAGGGGGCAGTTGGAATCACACCCACATCTATTGTGTTAGACAATTCACTAAATTACCACTACTCAATCCATTTAAGGTGTCAATGGATTATCCAACGAAAGGGGGCAGTTGGAATCACACCTGCATTTATTGTGTTGGACAATTCACTAAATTACCACTAGACAATCCATTTAAGGTGTCAATGGATTATCCAACACTGATTTATGCGTTGTTTTTCTTATTGAAATTTGAAATATTAGGCGTTCCTTGCTCTTCTTTGCTTTCTACTTGCATGTTCATGTACTTCCTTTGCCAGCGCGGTTTCTAATTGTATATATCTCACATGCTTTTGTATAGAGTACGCACTTCTTTTGTTAACAAGAAACTTGCATCTCATTATTTGTCCAAAAGGCATGAGAGTATAAGTTCAAGGTTTCCCTCTTGTCGTTTTGAGCTACATCTCTGTGGAAGGTTGAAAGATTGCAGAACACACATACATGGCATTTTTAGATCTCAGCAACTTGTCATCTTCATTGGTTTTAAGACGCCAAAAGCAACTAATAAATATATCATTTGATTTACATAGATAAGGAATATTTTCATTTTACTTTATGGGAAAAGTATGTTCTTTTTATTGATGAAGTAATTAGTTCTATTGCATTCGGAAAAGTATATTCTTGAAAAGGCAATATCTTTTGGGGTCTATGATGAGCACCTCAACATGGTATCAGTCTAATAACAAGTCTTTGTTCAAATCTAATCGTCACCCATTATCAGGAAGAAATTTCACATACTTGGTCGATGCAAAAAGAATGAAGCTTGCATGTGAGGGGTGTGTGGAAGACATGATTATTTGAATAATGTACTCTCTCTAAAAGTTTAAACTTTTAAATGAGATGGTCACGCATTTTCAACAAAGTGCTTATGTGTTATCTTTGGATGTTTATGGAGTGGTCTACTTGTAGAGAAATGATAAATGCAGGTTGTCGTTGCTTAGTATATGTATTCCATTTACGACCATCGTTCTAGTTTTATGAACAGCTTGACCCAATCTAGATGTAGGTTGATAGACATACTCTTAAATGTGGGTTTTCATAAGGATGTTTGCAATCGCAAAAGAGTTCTTGCAAAGGGTTATCCAAATTCATACATGATTAACTATTATCCGGCTGCAGGTTTTATTTTCCTCCAGTCACTTTCAAGATCATGGGCATACTCAACTTCAAACAGACTATCTAGAGGTGAGTTTATTACCTGATGAGCTGTAAGATAGTTCATGTATATATGTGTGTGTAACATATATCATCATATCATCATATTATATTAAAAGTGGAAGCTTCCAACTTCAAAGTTGGATTACCATTTTACCCCTATTCTAAATAAAATATCTAATTAATTAAATATTAAATAATATCATATATATATTATACTAAATACTTAAAGTGGGAAGGTGTTTAAGTCCAAAGTTGAATCAACTTTTAAATGAGAAAGACATTAAGAAAAGATGATAATGAATAGATAATGGTTTCAAAACCCTTCATTTCTAAAATTAAATTTTAAAATCTTATCTTTTCATTTTCTCATATTGAATTAAGAAAAACGTTGGTCTTGCAAACTTATAAATTAAGACATTGGACAATATGAGATAAATCATAAGAAATAGTAGTGTTCAATTGTTGATTTCAAACTTCCTTCTTTTATTTGATTCCTTCTTCTAAGTTGCTCGGACTCTTTACTTTTGGTGCAGCACCCGTGTCGACACGACGTGGGTGTGGTGTGGTATCCGTGTCCGATTTGGTCAACGGATTTTGGGTACTTTTGCCAAAATCGATGGGAAAGTTTGGACAATTTTAATGATTTTTATAATCAATACAAAAGGTAAGGTGAAATTGAAGAAATTGGAATACCTTTTATATAGAAATTTATATGTCACTCCTTTTCATTTAATCTCCTTCCATGTTTCTCCTCAAGTTCTCCATATAATATCTTATAATTTAGATTTTATAACTCTATTTTTAGATATTTTAATTATTTTTAGGCGAATCCCCGCACTCGTATCCGTGCATGGATCCATACCGCCGAATCTTTAAAATTAGATCATGAAGGATCCGACCTCTAGATCCGCACCCGTATCGGACACCCGCACCTGAGTCCGAACAACTTAGTCCTTCTTCATCTATGTATTATCACAATTAATTATAGTTATGTTTTTCATTTTTATCCTCTCTCAAATTTCATGACATCATAATTGCATGACAAAATATAATTATGATTATATGTGAGAAGTCTGATGATTCATTATATTTGTTTGGTAAGAATCTCTTCTTTCTTTACAACAACTTTTAGATTGCATAATATCAATTTCTAAACTCCCAAAATTTATTGATTATGTGGAAGATGTGATGAATACATTATTGTTTGGGACAAACGTGCAATGCATGTTTCCAAAGACTAGTATATATATATGTGTGTGTGTGTGTAAGTAGTAGCCCAAATAAGATGTCCAAATAAGAACATTCAGGCCCAAACCGATAAACTATTCACACCAAAAGGGTTATATCCATTTATAAGTTGTGAAAAGTTTAATCATAAATAATCCCTTAACCAGCCCATCAAATAAGTGGAAGATTCATTAAATTGTGAAACGTTACCCTGCCATAATGTGATGTGCTTCCAATGTCAATAAAATGTAACCCATCCAATTCTTGTCGGTAGTGTGTGTGAAATTTGTTATTTCTTACTGTACGAAGTTTCATACTTGCACCTGCAGGTGATGGATTTCTTAAATGATGCTGTGGTATCTATGGATGCGTTTGTCAATGCGTATAAGCAAGCATCCATCTACTTCTGCTGTCCTGTTGAAATGAGGTACTAACCTTTTGGTTGACTTCTGTTGCATCAGCGTGTGTAATGTGTTAATTTATCAATGAATTACTAGGATAAGCACTTAGAATCTCAATGTCTTGCTCCAAAATATGGAACTCATTGTATTGCAGAGTATCATTGACTCTTCATTTATCTGTCTCTGATAATTTGCAACTTATTTGTTATTTCATTCTTTCCATGCTTAAACCTTGTGAGCTGCACTTCTATTATTGCCAATTTGGGTAATTTCTGTTCTCATTACCTGCCGATGGATTAATAGTTTGTGCTTATTTAAGGTAGGCACAACGAAAGTTCATATTCATTAGTGTCTTTTCTCTGTGCAGTCATGGAAATGAGGAGGTTCTTACTACCCTTGCAAGATTGCATAATTCATTGCTTCCCTCTTTGCGGCGGGGCTTCCACATAATTTTAACCTCCGGAGAGAAAAGTTTGACGGAGTCATCTAATGAAATGCGCTCAAATGTTTTTGTCAGTCTCAAAATGTTATCCACAAGGATAGTAAATTTTGGTTGGAAGCTGCTATACTTGTGCTATCTAAGTGATGAGGCGTTTGTTGAAAGTTCTCCGCTTCCTGCTACCATGAAAATGTTCCCGACCAATGTGGAGGATCCTGCTATAAGAGCAGATATATTAGTGCAGTCAGTGAGGGATATCAGTGGAGATTACTCACAGGCTCTAGAGGGCCATAGCAAAGGAACGTTTCTCCAAATCATTGAACAAAATTACAACATAATGAGCAGAATCGAGTTACTACGGAATACAGGTAATTAGCTGAAAATGATGCGTAGACTCTGACTTGTTTCTCAAAGTTTAAGGTGGCTATCATGCTATGGGTCATAGATTCCAAATGAGAGCATGCATGACAGAAAGAAAATGGAACATATGAAACTCTGTTTAGAGTGTGAATAACATTTTCTGTGATTGAAGCTTTAGCAGAAAATGCCAGAAATATCTACATTTGTTCTCTCTTTATATGGCTTATTAATATTTTAGTTGAGAAACTTAAGCCTCTCTTCTTTCTTTAATCCTTTTGAGAAACTTAAACCCCTCTTCTTTCTCAGTTTTTCTCGTCTGATGTCCCATGTCTGCTTATTCTTCATTCCACTCATGCATGTTTGTATATCTGAACTGATTTAGTTTCATGCAGGGTGGATATCAATGGATGATGATCAATTCAAGTTTCTGTCGGGGATCACAATACACCCAGTAGAAGATAATGTTGGAAGGGCAGCCCATCCGGCAGCCTCTGGAAAAGACAACCGACCACAGGTTGATGAAGATGCTGCTATTATGGAGTCAAAAATAAGTCAAATAAAAGACCTGTTCCCTGATTATGGAAAAGGTTTCTTAGCTGCTTGTCTTGAAGTATATAACCAGAATCCTGAAGAGGTCATTCAGAGGATTCTTGAGGGTACCCTTCATGAGGAATTGCAGTCTTTGGACATCTCCTTGGAGAAAATACCACCACCCAAGTCTGATGTTGCATCCATGACCAGAAATGACAAAGGTAAAGGGAAACTAGTGGAATCTACACCAATGCCCCCTAGAAACATTGTGCCCGCAGCATCGCCTTACAAAGCTGTAGGCTCTTCTAATTCATCTATAGCTCCAGCTGGAAGATTTATCAGGAAAACAACCAGTGAAGAGCCTGCTTCCTTGACACTTGACTCTAGAGATGCGAAGGATTTGGCAAAAACGCTTGCACTTTCATCACAGCTTGAGTATGAAGATGAGTATGATGACTCATTTGATGACCTAGGCCTAAGTATTGGTGATTCAGCATTTGAGGAAACTGAGAACCTCCAAGACAAGACAAACTTCAGCCGTGGGAGAAATTCTGAAGCTGATAATGGTAGCTCAGCTTCCAACGCTTCTAAATGGGGATCACGAAAGATGCCACAGTTTTACGTCAAAGACGGCAAGAACTATAGTTACAAAGTTGAGGGTGCTGTTGCGGTGGCTAATTACAATGAAGCTTCTATAGTAAATCAAGCTCAGAAGGAGTTGATACATGGGTTGGGACGAGGTGGTAATCTTCCTTTGGGTGCAGTTAAACGGCTGACCGAGCCAAACGAGGAGAAAGAAGACGAACCGGAATCAAATGAAATGGGTGGAAGGGGGAGAGGTCGAGGGTTCTTCAGGGGAGGAAGAGGTGGGAGAAGAAGAGACTCAAACGAGGAGAAAGACAACGATCCCGAATCAAATGAAATGGGTGGAAGGGGGGGAGGTCGAGGGTTCTTCAGGGGAGGGAGAGGTGGGAGAAGAGGGGGAGAGTCAAACGAGGAGAAAGACAATGAGCCGGAATCAAATGAGATGGATGGAAGGGGGGGAGGTCGAGGGTTCTTCAAAGGAGGGAGAGGTGGGAGAAGAGGGGGAGAGTCAAACGAGGAGAAAGACAATGAGCCGGAATCAAATGAGATGGATGGAAGCGGGGGAGGTCGAGGGTTCAGAGGAGGGAGAGGTGGGAGAAGAGGAGGGGGTAGATCAAATCATTACAGAAAGGATCAAGCCATGAAAAAACACTTTTCAGGTTTGACAGGCCATTGATATGGAAGGTTACTCTAAATGTATACAAATTGTTGATAAGCAGTATTACCTTTTAGTTACCTTACAGAGTTTTTAACCGACTGTGCACGCGATTTCCTCTGGGAAGAAATTTCAGTTGGATTTTGTTTTCATCAAATATACTTAAGTTTATACCATGGCTCAGAGTTTCTTTTAATTTTCCGATGTAATAAAAAAGCAGGTATTTGTGAGATGAGGATTTAATATAAATGATTATGTGAACTATGGCGTTGAGGATTAATGAGAAATAATCTTTCTGCTTGGAAAGTAACGGTAAGGGGTAAGGTTTGCGTACGTTTTACCCTCTCAACACCCCATTTTGTAGTGTTACATGAGAAAAAAAAAAGTCGTGTATTTTTAAAAATGAGCTTGTAAATGCAAAAATATGTATGAAAAAAATATTGACACTATGTAATGTTCTTCCAATTCATTATGAAGATCCTCATAAAGTTTTTTTTAGAAAAAAAATTTGGATGCCTCAAGGCACCGAATCCATTGGCTAATACATTCGAAAAATCAAGAAAGTCTGTGTAATTCCTAAAAGTTTGCTAGTAAATATGAAAATATGCGTGAAAAAATGGTGGGACTATACCTAATGCCCTCCTGACTCATTGTAAATGTCCTCATAAAGTTTTTTCAGAAAAAAAATTCGGATGCTCAAAGACGTCAAATTCATGTGCTAATACACACGAAAAACCAAAAAATCCATAATTCCTAAAAGTTGGCTCGTAAATGCAAAAATATACGTTAAAAGATGGACTATACATAATGTTTCTCAACTCATTACGAAGGTTCTCATAAAGTTTTTTAGAAAAAAAAATTGGGAGTCCCAATGCGTCAAATCCATGGTTAATACACAAGAAAAAACAAGAAAGTCGCGTAATTTCTAAAAGTTGGCTCGTAAATGTGAATATATGCGTTAAAAATAACGGGACTATACGTAATTCTCCCTCAACTCATTATGGAGGTCCTTATAAAGTTTTTTCAATAAAAATTTCGGGTGATCCAAGATTCCAAATTCATCGGCTAATACACACAAAAAATCAAGAAAATTGCGTAATCTTAAAAGGTGGCTCGTAAATGCTAAAATATGCGTGAAAAATATGATGGGACTATACATAATATTCCCCAACTCATTACGAAATCATTATAAAAAAATTTGAATGCCCTAAGGCGCCAAATTCATGGATTAATACACACGAAAAACTAAGAAAAATGCATAATTCTTAAAAGTTGGCTCTTTAATATGAAAATATGCGTAAAAAATGGTGGGGCATACGTACTACTCCCCAACTCATTACGGAGGTCCTAATAAAGTTTTTCTAAAAAAGTTTTGGATGCCACAAGACGTCAAATTCATGGGCTAATACACATGAAAAATCAAGAAAGTTGTGTAATTCTTAAACGTTGGCTCTTAAGTGCAAAAATATACGTTAAAAATGATGGGACTACGGTAAGCTCCCCGAACTCATTATCGAGGTTCTCATAAAGTTTTTTCAAAAAAAAAAATCAAATGTCTCAAGACGTCAAATCAATGGGCGAATACACACAAAAAATTAAGAAAGTCGCATAAATCCTCAAAGTTGACTCGTAAATGTGAAAATATGCGTGAAAAAAATAGTGGGACTATATGTAATACTCCCTTAACTCATTACGGAGGTCCTCATAATATTTTTTCAAAAAATATTTTCGCTTGCCTCAAGACATGAAATTCATGGGCTAATACACATGAAAACCAAGAAAATCGCGTAATTGCTAAAAGTTGATTCGTAAATACGAAAATATGCATAAAAAATGGTGAACTATACATAATGTTCTCCCAACTCATTATGAAAGTCCTCATAAAGTTTTAAAAAAAAATCCGGGTATCCCAAGGAACCAAATTCATAGGCTAATACACACAAAAAATTAAGGAAGTCGCATAATTCCTAAAAGTTGGCTTGTAAATGCAAAAATATGTGTGAAAAAAATGGTGAGACAATACGTAATGTTCCTCATACTCATTACGGAGATCCTCATAATGTTTTTTTAGAAAATATTTGTAGGTGCCCCAAGGCATCAAATCTGTGGATTAATACACACGAAAAACTAAGAAAGTCGCGTAATTCTTAAAAGTTGGCTCGTAAATGCGAAAATTTGCGTTGAAAATTGTGAGACTATATATAATGCTCCTCCATCTAATAACAGAGCTCCTCATAAATTTATTTGGAGCCCCAAACAGCCAAATTCATAAACTAATACACACGAAAAATCAAAAAAGTCGCATAATTCCTTAAAGTTGAATTGCAAATGCGAAAATAAGCGTGAAAAAATCGGCGGGACTAAGTCCTCCATCCATATGTTACCGACCTGACCATCCATCTATCATTGGAATCAGAAGAAACTGATTTTCGTTTGTATTGGTATTGAATGAACATATCAAACAAAGGCGAGCAGTATAAACCCTTCTCCAGTCGGTTTTATACATAATGTTCCCCCAATTCATTACAGAGGTCCTCATAAAGTAGCATTATTCCTAAAAGTTAGCTCGTGAATTTGCAAATATGCATGAAAAAAATGGTGGGGCTATACGGAATGCTCTCCCACTCATTACGGAGGTCCTCATAAAACTTTTTCAAAAAAAAAAATGCAATTACCCAGAGCATCAAATTCATTGGTTAATACACACAAAATTAATAAAGTCGCATAAAAACAAAAATCCTTTCATGACACTTATATATGAAATAAAGGTATTTATAGTTGCCACAAATAAAAACTTTTGTTGGGAACTTACATATGAGTTTGCGGGAACCTTATTCGCTTACGTTGAAGTCGCTACAAATAATTTTTTTTAGTGACGGCTTGTAAGTATGGGCAGTGATAACAGTTGATATAAATAGTAACTTTTAGTGGCGACTTATATAGTATAGGCAGCAACCAGTAACAACAGTGGTTATAAATAGTAACCTTTACTGGCGACATATATAGTATTAGCAGCAACTTATGTCGCCACGAATAAGATCTTTTAGTGGCGACATATATAGTATTAACAGCAACACAAGTCGCCACGAATAAAATCTTTTAGTGACGACTTATAGTACAGCGAAAGAAGTCGCCACGAATAAAATCTTTTAGTAGGCGACTTTTATGGTAGTAGCAGCGACAAAGGTCGCCACGAATAAACCTTTTAGTGGCGACTTTTATGGTATTAGCAGCGATATAGGTCGCCACAAATAAGAGCTTTTAGTGGCGACTTGAATGATATTAGCAGTGACAAAGGGTCGCCACGAATAAACTTTTTAGCGGCGACATAGTTGCCACTAAACAGTATCATTTAGTGGTATTTTTTGCTGCGAGTAAAGCCGCCAGAAATAATAACTAAAGTTGCCACCAAAAACATTTAAGTTGCGCTTTATGTTGCCACAATAAAGATCCTGTAGTGGTGATCAATAATTATTAGCAGCGACAGAATTTGCCAAAAAAAAACTTATGGTGACAACTTTTTATGAGATGGTTGTGATTAAAGTCACCTCGAATAAAAAATATTTAGCGGCAACTTTTATGGCTAATTACATACTTTTTACAATTTTAATTATTAATAATACCCCCCCTCTATTTAATTTTATTTGTTTTATTTGAATTTTAACATATCTATTTGGAAAATAATGATTGTTATGACTATATACCTATTATTTAATATTTTATGTGTTGTAAAACATAAGCAATATACTGCAAGTAATTTCGACACAAGATATATGGGGAATAGTGTAGAGTATTTTCATTCAAATATCTTCAAATGTCATTGTGTATCTTATAATGGTGATGGACAACCATATTTATAGGTTGAGAAATCATTCCAAAAGTCACCTTATTAAGTGTCATAACAAATAGATGTATTTTTATCCAAAAAGGTTCATAGAACCTAGGGAATACACATAAATAATAAGTATAAGTTTATGGATAAACTCAATGGACGATACTTTTTTCAATGGATTTATAATAGAATTTTAAAAAATGATTTGAGGAATAAATAATTAATGTTAAATGGTACAAATATGAAATTTTTTTACCTCATTTGCATGATAGTGTTTTGACTAATAATTTAAGAATTTCATTTGCATGATAGTGTAATTTGTCTTGACCAACAGTTACTTTATGCATGTCTACATTTGTTTTCATTAGCAATGAACTTTTACGTGTAATATTAACATTATTGGATAAGAAAGAATCATAAAAAATTAATATTGAAACATCATTTGCTTAAAATATATAACAAATCATTTTTAAAAGTGTTAATCCTTAATAAACACAAAGACAATATCAGAAATAGCAAAATATCATGTATAAATAATAAAATTTACTGAAATTATTCTCTGTTTATATATGAAGTTAAATTTTACCAAAAATAAATTAATTAAAATACAAATTATATTGTGAATGTCAAAATAAAATAAGATAAAAAATATTAGGTCTTACCTTATCCAGTATAATCTAATAGATTATATTTACTACTCGTATTCAAATTACTCCAATGGCATTCAATCCCAAATATGCTAACCTTTAAAAAAAACCAACTCCCACAAAACCAAATTAAACCTTACTTCAAAAATTTCAACAGAAAGTGGCTGGCATTTCTTATGCACTACTGATGAACTCCATCAGAGGCAACAAGTCAAATGTATTTTATTACATAATGAAAAAGAAAAATAAGGGAATACTACCAAGTAGCAACCAAAATGATCAAATAACTATCTTTTTTAATCATTTTGTTCATTAAATCTGTGACTATGAATGAATAGTATGACACGAAGGAAAATTGTCCTTTTTTCGCTGAGACTGTGTTGCTGCAACTGCTTGTTTAGAGCTCATCACCGCCCGCATAGTAGCCGACATTCTTGTCCTGAAATAAATTATATCTCAGGTTTAGTTGAAGAACCCTACACCCCACAAACTTGGATACAAGATCCACCAAGTGTGAGCTGCCTAATAATTTTTCTTAATACTCGGGGGGGAAAAAAAG